AATGTGTTATACCTAATATTTTCATGCCTTACATTAGGGCATGGTTTCTGAAGCCACTCAGTCAGTCAGAGAACTGAGGAAAGTAACACAGTCTTCTCAAACTACTCTTAATCAGTGGTTTTGGTTTCTGTCCATCTCATGATGTTAAACACACTTCAGAATGGTCGACACTTGGGACTGAAATTTGGGGGTTGCAGTCTGCTTTAGGGACTAACACCCTGAAAATCACTGTGTTTGAAATGCATTTACAGCGTGTGACTGAAGGTAGGTGTCAGTGGTTCCTCTGAAAACAAATTGAGGAAAGCTGGAGTTCATCTCTCTGTGTGCAGTGAGGTAGTATTACTTAATCCCACCGTATGCCAAATATTTTTTCCTTCTTTGCCACAAAAAGAGAAAGTAAAAATGATCAATTTCTACAGGAAATGTAGATGTGATATGAAAAAATTAGTGGGTTTTTTTTTTTTTTTAAAGTTGGTCTTACATATTTAGACTAATTTCTGGGCACAATGATGTATTTTTATTCATCTCTTAATCTTGCTTACCTTTCTCTCTTTCTTGAATTAAGTGGGGTTTTTTTGTCTTATTTGGATTCTTTTTCTTCTTCTTACATGGAAGCCTGTACTGAAACTATGACTAATTCCTAGTATCTGGCTCTGACCACTGAAAGACCAATTACCTCTGCCTTCTTTTGTCAACAGTTTTGTGATCACCTATATAACTTTAAGAAGCAATTAGTTTACACCAGTAGCATAAGTTCAGTCTATTTCAGGAAGATCTAGAGAAATGCTAACAGTTCCAGAGAGCTAACTGAGTAAGGCTCTCCTATCCAAGACTGTGTTGATGTGTTTGATACGGATTTGATGGACGGACCATTTGGTGGATAAGGAATTGACTGGATGGTTGCATCCAGAGAGTAGTGGTCAATGACTCAATGTCCAGATGGAGATCAGTGATGAGTGGTATCCTTCAGGGGTCCATGCTGGGACCAGTGCTGTTTAATATCTTCATCAACAAGACTTCATAGACTGTGGGATCGAGTGCACCTTCAGCAAGTTTGCAGATGGCACCAAGCTGAGTGGTGCAGTTGAAATGCCTGAGGGATGGGATGCCATCCAGAGGGACCCAGACAAGCTGGAGGAGTGGGCCCATATGAACCTCATAAGGTTTAACAAGGCCAAGTGTAAGGTTATGCACCTGGACCGGAGCAACCTCCGGTACCAATACAGGCTGGGGGATGAAGGGATTGAGAGCAGCCCTGAGGAGAAGTACATGGGGGTACTGGTGGGTGAAAAGCTGGATATGAGCTGACAATGTGCGCTCACAGCCCAGAAAGCCAATCATAACCTGGGCTGTGTGGCCAGCAATTGAGGGAGGTGATTCTGCCTCTCTATTCTGCTCTGGTGAGACCCCACCTGGAGTACTGCATCCAGTTTTGGAGTCCTCGGCACAGGGAAGACATGGACCTGCTACCTGCTAGAGCAGTCCAGAGGAGGGACACAAAAATGATCAGAGCGATGGAAAACCTGTCCTATGAGGAAAGACTGAGATAGTTGCGGTTGTTCAGCCTGGAGAAGAGAAAGCTCCAAGAAGACCTTATTGCTGACTTTCAGTATTTAAAGGGGGCCTATAAAAAGATGGTGACAGACTTTTTAATAGGGCCTGGTGTGATAAAGCAAGTGGTAATGGTTTTAAACCAAAAGAGGGTAGATTCAGACTAGATGTAACAAAGAAATTTTTTATGATGAGGGTGGTCAAACACCGGAACAGTTGATCAGAGAGGCTGGAAACGTTCAAGGCCAGGTTGGACAGGGCTCTGAACAACCTGATGGAGTTGAAGATGTCCCTGCTCATTGCGGGGGTTTGGCCTAGATGACCTTTATATGTCCCTTCCAGTCCAAATCTATGATTCTATGATTCTATAATTGCTAAGATGAGCTTGAGTGGCAGCCAACACGCATAGAAAACTCTGAGGGTAAGAGTACTTACTTAGCAAGCTACAGTGCTAGACATAGGAGTTGGAATTCACAATGTACTAGTTCTTTTGCTTTAAGTCTCAGTGTAGGCAACCTTAGTGCATGCTAAGAAAGTATACACGTGGGGAAATACGAAAGGGTAGCTACCAAACTGATAAAAAACACCTTGCCAACTGCATATTAACTTCCCTTCCAGGTACACCCTTATTTCAGTCAGTGGGATTGTTGCTGTCCTTTTCCCTAAATATCACTTCAGATTTTGTCTATATATGTGCAAACCATATCACATCATCCCAGTCTACACTCTACAGTAGTTTTAATATAGCATTTGAACATAATTATGCAATATAGCAGGCACTTTTCTAAAAGCAAATGTTAAACTGCTTTAAGCACTAAGAACAGATTCAAATTCTTACTTTTGCCTCATGGTGGAAAATGGCTAGCAGAGGAAATTCGTCAAAAGAATTTTTTAATATCACAAGAGCTTCTTTCAACTTTTTTGCTAATCAACTGATTTGCCTCATTTACCGGAGTGAGGAGCTCAGACAGAATATGTTATGACTACCCAAGTTTCTGGAACAGCTGCTTAGGATCTGGTAGTCGCAGCCATGAATGAGAGAAAGCCAGACCAGAAATATTAAGAGAGTGTAACTCTGCCCTTTCAAGTGCTCCACTGCAGAAGCCTGTTGGAGCTCAGAACCTGAGACAGGCAAGACGTATTATCTCCTCTTCTTCAGGCAGCCTGATAACACAAGATTATAATCTTACCTGACATTTAAGTGTTTAATATAAAAATTTAAGATCTTAACAAAGTTAAAGGATGATTCTTGTTGATGCATAACAGTCCATAGGAGTGTAGGAGATAAAACTAACATGTTATAATGGTGCAAATCAGTGAAATTGAAGCATTGAACAAACCTGATTGGGAAGGGACTAGGGACAGCAGTAATTGACACTGTGCCTGGTGTGGCTGGAAATGAAGGCTACTGGTGAAACTTCTGACAAAGGCGTAATTTATTTGTGCTTTTCTGTGGCATGCAGTAATTCCTACTGGTGGAAGGCAGTACAAATTTGCATTAATTGTGCATTTACTCTATATTAAATCTATGCCAAAAACTTTTCAATAGAGTATGATAAGACACTTAATATGAAAATATAATGTTAGAAATTAACATTTTAAATGGTTTTTATTTGATTTGTAGACAATATAATGACAATTTATTCTCACGATCTTCCCTGAATCTAATTCCAGATCTGAAGTTACATCTACAGACTACAGACTATGGCAACTTCTTGGCTAATGAAACTGGCCCTCTCACCATTTCCACCATTGATGATAAACTGAAAGCAAAACTACTCACAGAATTTCATTACTTTAGAAACCATGCTTTTGAACCACTTGCCGCTTTTCTAAATTTTATCACGTAAGTAGTATTACCACATAGCTCACCACACAGATTCAAAAAAACAGAAGCACAGTTACAAGTTAAAACAGTGTAAATGCATCATACTAGAATTTCAATTAAGTTTCAAAAATAGAAAGATTACTTTGAGACAGCAACATTTACATACTTTATTTGTTAATAAAAGTTCTGAAAATACATATATATGAACAGCTGTTATCTTTGCAGATTTTTTCTGTGTACAGTGGCAGGAGGAATGGTAGAGATCGAGAAAAACGGTTAGCATTTTCAAACATCATTTAAGTGAAAGAACTTGCAAAACTTAAGTTTGTAGGGGTGACCGCTGCAAGATCAGCAATTTCATGATGTACAGGGCAGTGATTTAATGCTTAGGCATGTGGCAAGTTCTAGACTTTTTTTAAAGGGGAAAAGACAACACATCATTCACCTACCAAGCTTCTTATATCATTTGAACATTAAAAATGTTATGTTGTGTATTGCAAGATACTTAGATCCAAGCAGCTTTTTTTAAAAGTGCTGTTTGATGCCAGATGAAGAGAAACATCTGATCTCAATACAATAATAAACAGATAAAATTTCTAAATGAATGGATTAACTTTAAGAACAGGGATCTGCTTTATAACAGTGTAACAACATGGATTACCGAAATGTCAGCAGAATATTTTACCTAACTGTTTACTCTCCTTGAACTTATCTTTTTATATATTATAACAAGAACATTAGATTGTTCAGCTTACTTTCAAGGAGTATTTTTATTGTAACAGCAAAATAAAGTATCATTCTTTTTTTTTTTTTTTTTTTTTTTTTTTGGTAAAGTGCAGCTGACCAGTTTTAGGCTAATATATCAACAGGATATTAAAGGCTGCCCTAGCACAGCTGTAACCTGTAAGCATACAATGTTTACATTTTGCTTCAGGGAAATGAAAGTGGAAATATGAAAATTATGGCAGCTCTTTTCTCACACTGATTGACACGCGTGTGTACACGTGCATGCACAAACTCTCCACATCATTGTTTTTTTAATAACGGAGATGCTAGTTTAAGATATTTAACACAATTCTTAAATCATTGAATTACATTTCACAAGATCCTCAAGTCCCCTCACAGATTTTGTGTGAGATGATATTAATCCCTATAGGTCTCTAGCTGTGCTCTGAATAAACAATGCAAGCTGAAGACTCTCATCCTTGTTATAGGTGTCCCAAGGGAATAGTTTTCCCATTTCCAAGTCACTGGCAAAACACTTATCAGCCCCTCTGACAGTAAAACTAGTAAGAAGCTGATAGAAAACTTCTACTGAAAAGAAAATTTTTAGCAGTAAAGAAGTCTGTGTGAATCTGTTCTTAGTTTCCTCATGGGAGGATGTTTAAAGCTGAGTGAGATGAAAGCCCTAATATTGGTCCATCTGCATGAACTCTGCAGTTTTAGTGCCAAGATTCCCACACGCTTTTTCTCTGTCCAGATGGTCTATATGAAATAGCAAAATTCCAAACTAAAGCTGCTGGCTCAGGTGACTTACTTTTTGATAACACTTATTGTCCCTTGTTATAGTGAATCCACATTTCACAGCTGATATGCTTATTATATTCGTGTTTCAGTTTCCCCTTCTTTAAAAGTGTCCCTTTTCCAAACCAGTCATATGGTTTAAAACTAGTACTGTGTTACCTACTTGCTATTTAAAAACTTCTGTTTGTTTTTCATGAGACATTGATACAGACTGAACGTACAAACCTGCAAGTACTGTGGTTGTTTCTGATTTCAGTATTACCACTAATTTTCAAAAATCTTGGTTTTGTATTTTTTCAAAGGAAAACTCATTATAAAGACAAATCTCTTTTTCTTTCAAATACAGATACAGCTACATGATTGACAACGTAATTCTTTTAATAACTGGCACATTACATCAGCGGCCCATAGCTGAACTTGTTCCCAAATGCCATCCACTGGGGAGCTTTGAGCAAATGGAAGCAGTCAGCATTGCCTCAAACCCCACGGAGCTTTTCAATGCAATTTTGGTTGACACACCATTAGGTAGGAACACTAGATTATTTCTTGCTTTCTTCTTGAAACTACTCATCCTGTATTGTTAAGAATATCTTAGATGGAGTAGCATGCTTTCCGTGCTGTGTTTTAGTAACACAAAACATGAAGTGTGGATCAAGCACTTCTGAAGTGGTGTTCAGGACATGTTCTTGTAACATTTATTAACAGCTTCTATATCAACCTTGGGTAGCAGACATGCTACTCAAGGAGTGTAATGGATACCTTTTATATCCAAAGTAGCCACTAATTTAGACATCTACATTTTTATTTCAACACCTGCATCAATTAAAAAATGTAAGATGAAATCTTGCCTATTCCTCACTAAGGCTCAAGAAGCAGGCAGTTAATAATAAATATTAGATTTTCTGGTAGCACCTAGATTCCCTCTAGGGATTTGTGCATGATTCAAACACAAAGAAAATCCCTATTTTGAAGGGCTAAGTCTAAAAGCAAAACAGAGTGAGGGCTGGGAATGTTGCATTCTGAAATCGGGATGAAACTCAGCTCAATGATGTGCTGCAGCAACCAACACGAACAAAACCGAACAAGCTGTGGAGCAGTGCAGGGAAGGGTACTGAGAATAAGACGAAACTGGATGGAACTTCATGGAATTTCATGAAGATCAACAAGGCCAAGTGCAAGGTCCTGCACCTGGGTCAGGGCAATTGCAAGCACAATTACAGGCTGGGCGATGAGTGGATCAAGAGCAGCCCTGAGGAGAAGGGTGTTGGTGGATGAAAAACTGAATATGAGCCAGCAATGTTCGCTTGCAGCCCAGAAAACCAATCGCATCCTGGGCTGCATCAGAAGTGTAGCCAGCAGGCTGAGGGAGGTGATTCTCCCCCTCTGCTCTGGTGAGACCCCACCTGCAGTACCGTCTCCAGCTCTGAGCCCCCCAGCACAAGAAAGATGTGGACCTGCTCAAGCAGGTCCAGAGGAGGCCACGAAGATGCTCAGGGGGCTGGATCACCTCGCGTATGTGGACAGGCTGAGAGTGCTGGAGTTGTTCAGCCTGGAGAAGAGAAGGCTCAGGGGAGACCTTATAGCAGCCTTCCAGTAGCTGAAGGGGGCTACAGGAAAGGTGGGAAGTGACTTGATCAGGGAGTGTAGTGACAGGACGAGGGTAGATTTAGATATTAGGAAGAAATTTACTGTGACGGTGGTGAGGCACTGGAACAGGATGCCCAGAGAAGCTGTGGCTGCGCCCTCCCTGGCAGTGTTCAAGGCCAGGCTGGATGGGGCTTGGAGCAACCTGGTCTAGTGGAAGGTGTCCCTGCCCATGGCAGAGGGGTCGGAACTAGATGATCTTTAAGGTCCCTTCCAACCCAAGCCATTTTATGATTCTATCATTTGAACATATGTGAAACCACTGTGTGCTCTCACCTTGAGTACTGTGGGTTTGGGTTCTGCTTCTCAAGAAGGCTTAGTGGGTTGGCCCCAGACAGAAACCAAACTCCCATCCAGCCACTCGTTTACCCCCTGACCCCAGCACAACAAGACGAGAAAACACAGGAAGAAAGGAGCTCATGGGTTGAGATCACCTACAAAGTACTGTTACAGGAAAAACAGACTCAACTTGGGGAAAATGAACTTGATTTATTGTTGGTTAATACATATATAATTAATTATTGATCCAGACATTAGGAAACAAATAGAAAAGATTGAAACATTTACATACTTAGGGAAAACACCTTTCCTCTCCTCTTTTCCAATCCTTCGCTCTAGGCTCCTTTCCTTTGCCTCGTGGTTATCACTGCAGGTTACACTGAGTCCCTTTGGAGAGGCAATGAGAGGCACAAGGAGCGGGGACAGTTTACAGTCAGTATGTGGCAGTTTCTCTCTGCCGCTCCTTCCTCCTCACTCTTATCCTCTGTTCCACTGTGGGCTCTCAATGGGCTGCAGTTCCTGCCAGTGCTATCTCCTCCAGCGCAGGTCCTCCACAGGCAGTGGGGAGTACCTGCCCCAGAGCCATGGAGTGACTCCTTCTCTGACTTTGGTATTCCCTCTGCTGTTTCTCAAAAACTTTTTCCCTCCTCCTCTCTACACTCTGTGGTTTTTGCCGTTTCTTAATATATTTTCCCAGAGGCACCACCTGCTTGGCTGAGGTGCTCAGATGTGTCCTGAGGTGGGTCTGTTGGAACTGGCTGGAACTGGCCGTGCCCGGCCCAGGGCAGCCCCGGCCTCCCCTCACAGAGGCCATCCTGCAGCCCCCTGCCAGTGCCTGAAATCAGAGAAGGTACACAGCAGGACAGCTAAAATGAACAAGGGGCAGACAGACTGGAAAGGCTGGACTCCAGCTTGGAGAGGACAAGGCTGAAGAGAGATATGGACAATGCTTGCAAAGTCCTGAGGGCAGCGGTTTGTCCACAGTGAGCTGTGAACTGTTGCTTACCAAATCCTTTAGAAGACCAAATCCCAACAGAAAACAAGTAAAAGAAAACACTCTTTTTTTACACAGCTGGTAGTAAATTTCTGGAAATTATTTTGCTAAACAAGTTTGTAAAAGCAGCAAGTAATATCAGATCTTTAAAAAGATGGGACATTCACGGGCCACAGATCTACAGAGAGATACTAAAGGAAATGGTCAGGGCTACACCCTCTAATGTTCTTCATCCAAAATCTGCATGCTGGAAAAGTAGGAAGGGAGACTACCACAAAACAGAGCCAGGCTCACATGCTCTCTCTAAATACCATCTTCCATTGCCACAGTCTGAGATAACACTCTGTCATGCAGCACTGGTCTGCCCTACTGGCATAGCTTAGAACAGTGAGAGACTGGCATACTTTTGTCAGTTGTGAATATAGCATTTTTAGGTGATCTAGCTGCACAAATGAACTTCACCCTCTGCCTCCCTGTTCAAAACCTTGCTCTTTAGCCAGTTCTGCCAGGGACCTGGAAGCACAGATGTTCAAGATCAAAGCTTGTGCCCCTTACTAGTGGCAACCTGTTGCCTTTCCTCCTCTACAGACATACCCAAAGAGGAAGAGAGAAAATAAGAAAGAGGATTTGCCTTAACAATTGCAGAATACCAGCATGATTTAAGACAAAAATTATCTTTCATGTTCTTCACCAGAAAATCTCCCTAATGCCCAAACCATATACTTCAGAGAAGATTAGGGCTTTCATTAGCATTTCCTATCCGATTCTCTCTGAAGATGTGGACTCTGACTGCGGCACTGATTGATTCCTCTCACAGCAGATTCTCATTAAAAAGAAGGGAGTAGGAGGATAAGGGGAAAATCAAGAGGATTTCTCTTCTTCTAGGTTATATCACTCTTTCTTGTACAACAGAAATCTCAGATCCTTACTCACACACTGGTGAATGGCAATAGACCATGGATGCATATTGTCAGCTCGTAGATTTACACTGCAATATAATAAACTCTCCTTTCAGCTGCTTTCTTTCAAGACTGCTTGTCTGAAAATGACCTGGATGAAATGAACATTGAAATAATGCGCAACAAGCTGTACAAGGCAAGTTCTTGCAACACAACAATAATATTTGGGGTTTTTCAAAGTGTCTCAGAAAAGGATGTCAGTATCATTAACCCTGTTTTATGGATGGGGAAACAGAAGCATGGTGAGATAAAGCAAGCTGTCTAAGGTCACCTGGTTGGTGACAAGTCCAGGAATCAAATCCAGTTCGTTTCATTTCTACTCCACTGTTTGGAGAGTTTTCAAATTTTAGGTCTGCATCCAAATTGTAATTTAATATCTCATTAATGAAAATGCTTTAGGTGTCAGGCTACTATCCAGATCCATTTGCTTATGCATAACTCAGTTATCCACCAAATGCTACAGAACTGTTAGCTGCTAAGTGAGCCTATCAGGCTTTTGGCTAACATTTATTTTTGTTTATACCATTTGGTAGATGAGATTTGAAAAGGTCTAGTTGCTTTGAGTGTAGCTAACATTTTTTTACTTAAGGGTTTTGTATAATTTTCTTCCTTTTTAAATTATCTTTAGTAATGCCACAGCACACTGTTGAAAGGATATGCATATAACATGTGCCTTGCATTTTCAAAATACTTTACAAATATTAGCACATAGGTCAATACTCTTAGGATGGCCGCTTTAAAAGCTATACATATTTCATTCCATTAATGGTTCCTCCTGGCACATTCTCTCGAAATTCTTTGTTCTCTTTCTTTCACAGTGGATGGCTCAGGCTGCAGGAAGTATTCTTGCAGTGATCTGATTGCACTAGGAGGAAAGAAAAAAATTTATCTGTTTGTTTTACAAATGATATTTATAAATTCCCAAGCCAACATTTGATTCTTAAATATTCTGCTACTTCCTTTCACTCAAAACACCATCATTTATGCTGAAGTATTTTACTTCTTTCACAGTACTACTAAACTGGACACTCTTTTTCCATTTAATAACATGCAGATTCGATTCTTATATCCTGTGTGGACGACCATACATTTGCACTTATTAAAGCTATTTTTGTTTGTTTGGTTGGTTGTTTTTTTCCTTCTCACTCTTCTAAGTATCAGGGGCATCATTCTGCAAATATTTCTAAATTATTAATATATCCTTTCTCCTCTGCTTCAGCTGTCAATGCGATCAATTATGTTTCAGCTGTACTATCAGATAGCACTATAAAGAACCTAACACATAATCCCATGTAGCCGATTACCCTTGAGATGTCTCTACTTAAAATTCACTTAACTGCATAGTTAGTGACAGCTTCTTTTAATAAGATTGTGTGAAGTTGTAGCAAATGCATTTTGATTACATAAATGTTCCCTAAGACAGTATTTTGGGGGGATGGAGAGGCAAGGGGAACAACATCTCTGAGATATTTCGGGTCCTTCCTGCACAGGTATTTTGAAATGGGTGCAAAGGCCAGAATCCTTAATAGACCAGAAGGCTCTGCAGACCAGTATAACAGAAGTTTCAGAAGCTTTGTCCAGTGTTCTGTCCTAATCCAGGTTAGAGCAGTAGGGATTAGTTTGTGTATTCTCATAGCGCTGGCCCAACAGCCATGGCATACTCCCAAATCCCCTCCTCCACACTATAAATACAATTTCCTCCAGTTATCTGCATATTATGCAGTGGAAGCTCAACGGAGTTGAAGAAGTTCCTTTTTTTAGAGAGCAAAGAAAACATAGTATTTGTCCTATAACAGTTTTTTAAAACATTTGGATCCATATTGTAATAACAAGACATTTGCACTTTAATATTTCAACTTTCAATCCAACAAAGTAATACTTGAATTTAAATTCATAGCTAGGATTATCAATGTTAATGGAAGTATTCAAATATGAGGTTCATGACTATATGCTGTGCTGGTCCAAGTGTTAAGTAGCATTAAAATCCTTCTTTTCTTCTTTCATGTAGTCTTATCTTGAGGCATTTTATAAGTTTTGTGAAAAACAAGGTGGTACTACAGCAGAAATAATGAGACCTGTTCTGGAGGTAAGAAAAATTCAGTCTTTGTATGTGAAAGTACTCCACAATGTTTTCATAATTAGGTTACTTGGTTTTCCCTGATCCTTCTCTCTCCATTTGCAAAGTTATCTGTCAAATGTTTGCTTCTCCTCTGAAAAAGAATCTTTTTTCTAAGATGTAATGAAGACTTTATTCCAGGATGTCTTTCACCTCTTGACTAGAGAAGCAGCTAGTCCACTACCAGGGAGGAGTTAGCCTCAGTTAATATTTTTCTATAACAGAGAACAGAACAGAATAAAGGTTCACTAAACTCAAATTGTTGCCCCTTAACATTTTTTTTTGTATTCTTTAGAAAAACTAAAAAAGAGGATTATTCTTACACCTCCTAGCAAAATTAAATTTAGGATAGCTGAAGTCTAGCATTACTGTATATTTACTAATCAATAATCTTTAAGCTTCACTGCATTATTATGTTTTTTTACTCTCCTATTAATGGTTGAAGTTAGAGTTGAGTGACTGAAACTAGTGTCATACAGAGAAGTCCAACATTCCATGTTTTATTTTTATCTCAACTCAGAAAAAATTAGTATTTTTTTTTTCCATGGCATACATAATTCCTAATGTCCTCCTCCCCAAAGCATATCTGCAGCATAGTGAATGATATTTTTCTATCTGTTGCTGTAATAAAACATGCAGAAATTCCTAAAATTGAGTTGTCAGCATTCAGTTTTGTTTTTTTGTTTTTTTTTTTCATGTGGTTTATCACAACCGTTTGTAGAGTCTGAGAGCCAGATCACCCATTTGCTTCCAGAGTCTTTTTTTCTGGATAAGCAAAACTTATGCCCTGGAAACTGAACAAAATTCACTGAGCTCTGATAACATCACACTGAAAGTTTGCATTATAGGAGAGAGATAACAACCTCAGGAGCTCACCCCTGAAGGAAGAATGAGACTAAAGTACATGTTATGAAACAAAGTCCTAAAAGGGAATGCAATGTCATATTATTTAACCAGGTCATAATGTTTCAGGATATGTTCTAAAGAAAATATTCTTAATCAAGTTAAATTGATCAGAAATTAAGTATTTTGACTATTCTTTTCTGAAAAAGAAAAATCAAGAGATTGGCTGGCAGAGGTAAAGACCTTTCCCACAGTTGATTCAGATGTTTCAGAAAGTTCATTTTTAGCTAGAAATGCATGTTGTGAGCAGATTACTTACCAACATTAGTTTAAGCATGTTGTAAAACTCTCTTTATACCAGTGGTGACAGTTTGTTCTATGATAAGCTTCTTTAAAATCCCTATCTAATGTCAATCAGCTAGGAGGATAAACTTTTCTGTAGATTTCCTTTTCTATAATGTTTTAATAATACAAAGACACACATAAAGCAAATTGCTAATGGTTGAATTCACAAAAAGCCAAAGTCTAATTATTCAAAAGAATACTTGCTATTTATTTTGTCATCTTATATGTAATACTACCAACCTGACCCTATCAGAATGAGGCTGAGCTATTTAGCTCCCCATCTCCTTAACCACCAGTCATGGTGCCAACCTTCCACACTAAAAGTACTGATGATCTGTCTTCCAGCATAGACATCAAATGTTTCAAGTTTAACCCTGAATTTGTCAAGAAACTGCAGGACTGCACTGCAGCTAGTGCTGTGCCTACTATTAGGGCCCCATGCTAATTCTCAAGCAGCTGACATGTTACCTTAGTTTCCCATATGGAAACTAAAGTACTTAGAAAATGTTCAGCCTGTGACTCCCCCTCTACCTGAAGCAATCAAATGACCCAAGTCACCAAGTAACTGCCTCGTGGTACTCACTGTGGAGAACCTCATGTGCCAATAATTTGATGAATTGAGACGTCTGTACGGATGGGACTGATCATGCAAATTTTCTCAAACTGGGAGCCACCAGAAGTAGGCCCCAAATCTGCTAGCATTAGTTGCAATTGCATGTGAGCACGCTTTTTTTCCTCCAATAAAATCTTACAAATCTAACAGCTAGATTCTACATGGCTTTAACAAGTTAAAAAACAACATGTATTTGTCCTTACAAAACAGTTTCACTAGGGCTGATATGCCTGTTCATAGTAATAAGGCAAATGAAATTTGTCCCTGTTATTCATTAGCTAGAAATCTTTTCAAGCATACTTATTTTCTTCTCATTATTTCTCTATTGTTTACCCATTTTCCTTACTCTGAAGTCAGTGCCAGAGGGCAGCTGGGTCCCTGTTACAGTGTGTTCCAGTACACAGGAGTAGGATCTGCGAATATGTGCTTAACTGCTAAAGTTGTAGAACTGTGTTGCTACTGCAGTCTTACTAGTCAAGAGAAAAAAGTACCTCTCTGCTTAAAACAGTTCAAAAATTCACAGCATAAGAAACTTTGCAAGCTGCCTAAAATGTGTATGTGCTGTATATGCTTCACTTGGAAGATTTTCCTGTATAATCCTTGCAATTAGAAAGGGCTCTGCTGTTCTTACAACACGAAAGCAAGGAATAAAGGAAGAAATAAAACCATAGTCAATTTAAATATCAAGAGAGAATAACAGATTTAAATCAGACAGAATTGAGTAAGATTATTCTTATTTACCGTTACATTTTTAATTCATACTGTAAGAATGGCAAGTGAAATTTTGCCTTGTACAAAACAACAACCAGAGATCTAGACATTAGAATGACTTTCAGTCTGCTACTGCAGGGAAAATAGAGATACTACAGGCATCTGAACATGGCAGAAAAAATATAGCCTTTGATTCTATGTGTTAAAAATTAACTGTTATTTGAAACACTTGAAAAATTTAACTTGGCAAGTAAACAGCCCCCTCCACCTTATTAAATTATCGTTTTAAATATGTGCATCCAGAAACTGTTGTTTTGTTTTTTTTTCCCCAGAATTTCCATTCAAACTTTACTTTCAACAGCACTCTGAGCTACCCCAGATCAGTATTACTGATTGTTGGTCCTTTCCTGTATTATTATTATTTGTAAGAATCTATTTCGTAACTTCGGAAGGGTGTGTGAGGGGATTTTTTGGTGTCAACATCTGGGTAACTAAGCAGGGAAATGAAGAAGTAGCAGAGATTACATTTTCAGTACAAAAATCACAGAATGAATGCTTTGCTTGCAAAACACTGATTGATTTTCTAGTTAAAATTTAACAAGTATTTGCAAATAAGGATTAACAATTTTTAAAATAAGGTATGTTTCTATTGCTCTGAAGTCCACTTTTTTAAAAGTTTCCATAGTTTAGCTTACTGAAAAAAAACATATCCCCACTTAAATTTAGAATGAGATCTCTAATAACACCTCTTTATTCTTTGGTTTGCATGTTAAGTTTGAGGCAGACAGACGTGCCTTTATCATCACTATTAATTCATTTGGTACTGAGCTGAGTAAAGACGATCGAAAGAAGCTGTATCCAACCTGTGGAAAACTGTATCCAGAAGGATTACACCTGCTGGCCAATGCAGATGACTACGAGCAAGTGAAGTGTGTTGCAGATTACTATGCAGTATGTAATCTAATTTCTTAAAACAAAAAGCCAAAATACAAATACTCAAGATCTCTTGTTGTCAGCAAAATTTTAAAGAGTATTCACATAAGTTAAAAGCATTTTTGAGAGAGAAAAAAATCAGTAGATACAAAAGATCCCATAAAGATGTTATATGGAATCAAAGGCCTTTAATATGAAGACATATTATTACTGTAGTGCAACACAGAGTTCTTCTTCCAGCGATGTTTAAATAAGACCAAATCACATTCCAGTAAACAAAACTCTTCCTACTTCATTAACCCTCCCCAAACTGAGTTCTACTTCATAGCTGCTGCCTCCAAGATTTTGGAGTAAAAGCATAAGTCATTTTAGAATAGTTTGGGTCAGAAGGGACCTTTAAAGGTCATTTTAAAATGAGCTGACTAAACAATTCATGTCACAGATGAGTGCAAAACCTGATTCATTACTAGTGTACTGTAAAAATGCCCTTCAGAAAAGTTTTCTCTAAATCACCGATTGTATCAAAGAAGTAGATGAAGTCGCTAATACTGATGCGACTAGTGCTGTTATTAAAGGTGACTCAATCTGTAACACTTGCTCTATGAACTAACTGTGGCAGTCTGACTACCTGTAATATCTAAGCTACCTTCAAGTAGGTAAACAAAACAAAATGATGTCTGGTCTACTGCTTTTTCCACAGAAGAAACAAAGCTGGAGATGCACATCTGTTCCTGTGCATATGTAGAATGTTAGAAGCATGCGTCATGTCAGTGTGGTACAGAGCAAGCCTATTCATGTGATGGGGGGATATTTAGACAAATTTGGGAACCATTGTATTAGACCTATACTGCACTGCTGCTTTATAGGAAAAACAAAACAAATACACAGAGAAGCAAATTACACAGAAAGGTAACACATCAGAAATGAAGTCAAATATATTTACAGAATATTCCAGGATGACATATCACACTAACGGATTGAGATACAATATTAATGCAGACAAAGCAAATTCAGCTGACTACTGGAAACAAAATGAAGAGCCATGTGAGGATCAGAGTTCAGGGGTTTGTCTCCATTTACAGCTCTGGCTCTGATGGATACTATTTGTACAAGAAGTTCAGTGCTCTCTGTCCAAAGGAGTGAAAGGTCATGTGTCATCCTACAATAAGTCTCATTTAGTGCCTTTAGTAAATTACCTTAAGTTGTAGGAAATGATAGTAAGAAATACAGGAACAAATGTGATTTTTCTTTCTTTTGCTGACTACATGCTTTTAACTTTTGATTTATGTAGAACTGTAATCTATACATGAGTTCTTCTATACAGAAAGATTACTTAATGTAGATTCATTAATAAAGTGATGTAAGGTATCTGTGCTGCACAGAATGCACAAGTAACTTATTTCCATTGGGTGGTTGTCTATGCTTTCAGGAATACAAGGCTGTGTTTGAATGTGTAGGGAGTGGCACCGGAGAAAAGACACTGGAAGACGCATTTTTTGAACATGAGGTAAGAGCTTCTAACCTTAAAATATCAAAATGAAAGTTACCCACCTGGAATAACATCTAAAACAAGAATGAGGTACTAGGCTTTTGATTATACTATACTGCATCACTCAGCTTTGTAGTCAAGAACACAGTATTTCTATGGCTGTCAATATCTGGCTGAATCAAAATAGAAGGATTTACCTTTTTAAATAAAATAAATCCCAGGACATTCTTCTGAAGACTAGTTATAGAACTGTCAACCCTGATAGCCTGTCCAAAAGCCTGAAGAAGGTATACTACTACTGTCCTTTATTTACCTGTAATGTTGCTGTAGTCTATTATCAAAATTAATCCACAGATGACATTTCAATTACATTTATACTCAACAGACTTCTAAATATAGTATTGGTTGTGAAGTTACATAGAAAACTTGATCATAAAAGCTACCATATAAAAATCACATTTGCCATCTTCATTATTTTATCATAACACTTGTTTCATCTTTTCCACAGGTAAAGCTGAATGTGCTTGCATTCAACAACCAGTTTCATTTTGGAGTATTTTATGCCTACATAAAGTTAAAGGAACAAGAATGCAGGAATATTGTATGGATTGCCGAATGCATTTCTCAGAGACACAGAACCAAAATTAACAACTACATTCCAATTTTCTAAATCTGAGAATTTATAATCCTACAATGCCTGAAAAGATGCATTATTTCATAGAGAAAAAGAAACATCTTATTCTGAAAGTTAACTCTTATCAAACGTTTTAAATTGAATTAATGATCCTCCTTATATAGAGCAGTGTAAGAAAATGTAATGCAATTAGAGATATGAGTACTTTATAAGAAAATATTAGCGCGCTTATTCATAGTTTTTGTTGGTAAATGTGTTCCCCACTGTGCCTATTTTAACTTAATTGACCAATAAAAACTCCCTGCAAGGTCTTGCATACATATTCTTTCTCCTTTGTGGAAGCAACCTTTCTATCAATGACATTTGAAAAGCTCTTTAATGGCTTAATTTTGAATAATGGTTTTCTCAAAGAGCCAACTAAACTATTACTTCTGTCTTACACTTACGGTCTTCTTCATGGCATACAAGACCTAATACACAACTGAGAGAGAAACTTTAAGGTTACTCTGAGATTCCACTTAAGGAATCTCAAGAGAGAGCTTCCTGAACCTTTCTAACTGTGACACTTCTCTGCAGCTAAACGTAAATAAGTGACTTCATATTCATGAAAATGTTTTCACTTATTCCTTTATGATTACATGTGGAGCACTGTAAATGTCAAACAACGGGTGTCTGATCTACTCCACAGCAATATAAATCTCCTCCCAGCACACCAAAGACACTGTCTTCATGTATGCACTAGTGAAGATTATGAAACATGAATGAAAATACCAGCCAAGTCTGTATCAGTTTTACATCAGACACAAACAACACCAGCTCTGAGCTATTTGAGGACCTGGCTAAGATCAGTAACTAAAAATAGAGCAAACAGTTGAAGCCAGATTGTAGGAGGACAAGATTAATTCTGCCAAAGAAAAAGGAAGGCTTTTGAAAGCCGTATCAACACTCAGCCTTCCTATTCCATTCTAAAAATTTGCCCTTTTATCTTTGAAGCAGGCCATACCTTGATTTTCTGCATGACTCCTTAGTTTCAGGCTGCACAACAGCAAATCTCAGTCTTCAGCTGACTATGTTTCCAGTAATACGATACAGAAATAAAATCCATTTCCTAAACTGAGTAGACAGAAAAATAAAATATATCTGATGTCAACACCTCAGAATTATGGAAAACATTCAGGCATCATGGTTTTCAGAACTGAGATGTATTACATCTCTCTCTCTAACATAAACTTGTGCGTACGCGTTCATAGATAAAAATAGAGAAATTTACAATTTTATAGCTAAACCCACACTTCTTAAATTGTAAACATAACCAAAGGGTTACATCCCAGAACATCCTATACTGATTTAACAGAGAATTGAGAAGATTTTTAATATTTTCTTTATCATGACTCACATAGAACCTTACTTTATCACTTTAAGAAACACTTCCATATTTTCCTTCAGAAATAATTTATCAGGAATTTAGAAAAATCGACTAAAAAGAAATAAGTGTTTAAGAAAATAATACAAATCTTATTTCTATATTGGGGCTTATTTGTTTAGTAGATCTAGTAATTCAGAAGAAAAAAAAAAAAAAGAAACTTAACTGTAAGATTTGTGGATTGCAATTTCATTTTGCCATGTGTAGTTGCTTCCTTGAACTGCTTTTATCATCTTGCATTTCTTAATCTGTATTTGCCAGTCTAATCTCTGACCAACACTTTCCAGTTCACACCTATATTGCAAACTATATTGCAAACTTCCACAAACTGCAATGAAGAAAGCAACAGGGCTACATTCTCTCAAATTTGCATATTTCTATATTTTTTAGTAATTGCATTAAAAAAAAATCATGAGCTGAAGGATAACAGTCAATTGGTCTGGGACACAGAAACTCAATTTGTACAATTCAGCACAGTGCATGAAAATACTTTTCCTGTACTGATAAATCAAACCTCCCTACTTGAACAAGACAGAGCAGCTGGCTTTCTGCCAAGAATTTTCTGAAGCGATTTGAAGGGAAAAGAATCTGTTCCCCACCCTAAATCATTCTGTGCCAGGGAAGATATGCAGTTGCTATTGCTACAGTCTGTGGATACTGTTGCCTGAGAAAGAAATGAGTAGGAACTGCAGCTTACACAATTGTGTTGTCAGCAGAATTGGCCTTTAGACTATCGAAAGGACAGCATCGGTGTCGACTGATGCTTTTTTCAAAACAATGTTCTAGATATTTGATAAGTAAGGACAGGATGTACTAGGCATCGATTATATTCAGTTTAAGAATAAGCAAGAGAAGCAACAGACTAAGAAAGGAATTAAGACTTTAAAGTAGTAAGACCTGAAACATCTAGCTTTTTCTATAAATAACGTAATTTACATTACTTTCTTTTTAGTAAGTTAGTCTTCATGCTGGTGTATATATATATCTATATGTACACAAGTATAAAAAAAAAAATAGGATCATATGTCATCTCTAACAAGATCTTATAGTGGAAGTCCAGATCACAGAATCACTACTGCAAGCATCATCAACTTCTTAATGATAATGTCAACTTGTAGGATAGGGGAACATGAGGTACTGAGTTGCTTTTCCTGTTCTTCCTTGCACCTCTCAAACAACAGGAACTTGTGTTCACCCTCTTAAATGGCTAAGCCTATCCAGACAGATTTGTTCAATATGATGATACTGACCATGCCCCTTTGCCTGTGTCTTCAATGTGAGATGAAGAGCAGGACCAGGAACAAGCTTCTGGTGAGCTCTCAGAGCTGTGAATCTTTCTTCCCCATCAGCTGCTGCAGCTCAGGCTTGATAGGCTTGCCATCTGCTCACAAGCAGCTGAGCAGCACTGAACTGTGGAAGGACCGGGCCGCTGTGTTTGAAGCACTTCCCATGCCCAGTCTCTCCCTCTTGCACTAATGACAATTTGTGTCTGTGTTAGGAATTCAAGGAATTCATTTATAGGATGAATCATATCAGAGTGTGGTCCTAAGACTAGCTCTGGACTCACAGTTAGTTGACAATAGTAGACTCTCTCATTCTGGTTCTATCCACTACAGCATGACTTTCAGGTAACACGAAAACCAATCCAATACCATACTTGGCTGATTCTGCACATTTATATGCAGAATCACAGATACAAAGTATGTGAACGAAGTGATAGCTGTCCATCATTTGGATTTGCATCAGAATTATAAAGCTGTGAGCACGAAGATAACTATAATGGTTTAAACAAGAGATAAGTCAAAGCCCAGTGATGTGCTGGACAACTGGATTGCTTTACCAAAGAGTGTGGACAAATGTTTTAATACAAATCCACAGAGAAAAGAAGTGATAAATGGTAATAATATCTACCATGGCAATAATATCTACATGACACAAAAAGTTGTCTCAAACACACAGAAAATCATTCAACATATTGGAATATCTTCCAAATTATAAAGAGAAAATAAGAACTGTGATTTAAGAAATAGCAAGACAAACCTCTCAAAGAACCCAGGTAAAAAATTTCATATCGATGACACACAGTGAGAAACATTTGACTATTTGGAATCCATATTTACTGGGACTTCTAATTAAAAAAATATATATATTCCAAACCACATAATTTAGCTGGCAGTGTTAATGCAAACATTCCAGATGTGGAACACTGTCACTTACAATCCCATTTTAGTGTGTGACCCAGAAAAATTAACACCCTATTTTCTATTAGTTTGGAGCTTCTCCAGGAATACAGAGAAGACAAACTAAATGCTCTGAAAGTGTGCAACAGATATTGCAATAAATATAAGTCACAAGCCTACTGACAGGTGCCATTTTTATAGCATAACTCATCTGTAAAAATAAAACTTCAAAGTTCTGAGTCTCTTGGAAGATACAGGCCTGAAGCACTAACCTTAAAAACTATTAAAAAATAGTCTTTTAAAGAGGTGATTATTGCAGAACTTCTATTTAATTTTTTTTTTCTTTTACTCTGTCTTTGCAATTATTGACTGACATCAAATGACATACCAAGGGGTGTCTCTCACCCTTGGCCATAGTGTAATCTGTTGTCACCAGCATTTTAAAAAGCTTGCTGAAATCTTTTTTTACTGTCTTAATACTGACATGTAGCAGTGAAGTTTAAGAGGAAAATATCATACAAAACAGTATAAGTTATTTATTATCAAGAAAATAATAAAAAGGTGAAACTAACCGTTATATTTTTGAAATGGAAGAAAATGGTCATTTCCACACAAAGGATCTTATGATTTTGTCATACGTGCCCCTTTTCACACTCAGCCCAAGTCGCTACATGTTTATCCCTCACAGCTTCAGGACAGCCACTGCAACACTCACTGAATTCTGTTGCACAGGCATAGGGATACAGGGTACTTGGCAGCACTTTTAAGCATTACTTAACAAAAACATAATCCACGGAAATTCATTGCGTGTTCTAATTTGCTACTTACAACATGTAACAGGAACTCAGACTGAGTTTGAAAAGGAGCAGGTAGAAGTTGCAAGGTCCTTGATAAGAAAATGGCCATATTTTCTTGATTTCCAATCTAGAAAAAATAAATATTCTTATCTTGTTAGCATTATATTGAAAATGTATATGCTGTTTTTCTTTTGTGTGATATTGTTCTCTTAAACTTCTGTTTTGTTAGATGCACATGCACGTACATACACACACACACACAATGTACATCAACTACAAAATTTTCTACCGAGTCACACACCAGCTAGAAATTGAGAAAGCCAGCACTGGGTAAATCAGTCTAGAACTAAATTAAAATATGTTGCTTCACAACACTTTTTTTCCAGTGAAAATATAAAGAACAATTCAAACATTTGAAAAATTTGCAATAAAATTCATTAAAGTCAAATAAAGTAAAGGAAACTCTTTTTGCATTTTCAATTAAACTGATTTAGATCATTCTCTTCATACCATACAGCACAAGAGGCAAACGAGAGCACTCAAATAATTACAGTCCTGATCTAAACTCATAAAAATTACTTACACCTATAACATCACTTCAGTCAAGTTCAGCTGAGTCCTATACCAGTGTTGTTTACAACCTCTGACTATATTAACCAAAAAACCCAAACAAGCTTGAGTATGGCAGAGTTTAGGGACAAAAGCTGTCCCTTATCTGGAGAAACCAAGAAAGACAGACAAGGAAGCCACATATTCTCTGCCCTTAATAAGGACATTTTGAAAGATCAAAAAGCTAAAATTGTTCTTTTAAAAAGTCTCCCCCCTCAATCAGAGCTTTGACAGAAACGGCTTAATGCAATATATATATATTTTAGCAAAAGATAGGATTGAACCATCCTAACTGTTACAAAACTGAAGTGTTTTATCTATCATCTGATACATGAAGAGGGAGTACTAACACTGTTACAAATGTGCAGAAGCCAAAGAAGCCAAAATAAAACAGACAAAGTTTATTTATAGCAAATATTATGACTTTTATAGATGTATGAAAATCACAAAGAAATTACAAATTACTCTAAACAATATGTTATAAAATCATTTTATGCCACAGAAAATTAACAAATCATTGAAGAAAAGCACATAAATACTTACAATAAAAGCTACTGTAGGTAATAGCCCACTAATCCGCT